TCCTGTAAAAGTGCTCAGATTAGGAATTTAACCAAGATCTATATAAAAACATTGAGTTTTACCAGCATTCTAGGGACTGCCTTCCCAGTGTCTGTCTGTTTTGGAACTTTGCAATAATATGTGATCTTATAGTATATACTCTTGTCCTCATATATTTTAAAAAAATAAATAAAAAGGAAAGGGGATGTGCCTTTCTATGATAGTGGATTGAAACAGTTAATTTAGTCTCTTAATTGGGTGGTGTAAAATTTTATACTCCTTTATTGAAAGTTCTATTTCCTAGCCAGGTACAGTGGTGCATGCCTGTAATCCCAGCAGCTCGGGAGGCTGAGGCAGGAGGATCACGAGTTCAAAGCCAGTCTCAGCAAAAATGAAGCACTAAGCAACTCAGTGAGACCCTGTCTCTAAATAAGATACAAAATAGTGCTGGGGGGGCTGGGGATGTGGCTCAAGCGGTAGCGTGCTCGCCTGGCATGCGTGCGGCCCGGGTTCGATCCTCAGCACCACATACAAACAAAGATGTTTGTCCGCCGAAAACTAAAACAATAAATATTTAAAAGTTTAAAAAAAAAAAATAGTGCTGGGGATGTGAGTCTGTGGTTGAGTGCCCCTTAGTTCAACCTCCGATACCCTACCCCCACCCCCACCAACAACAACAACAAAAAAAAGTTTTATTTCATAAATATTACCTATGGTTTTAAAATAATTGAATATTAATTATTAATATCAAATATTAATTTATTAATCACCTTTATATGCATGTATATTCAACTGAGGACCTAGCACATGCTAAGCAAGTACTCTACCACTAAGCTACATCCCCTACTTTTGTTTTAATTCAGAGAATTTTTTAATTCTCACTAAATGCTGAGGGTTTAAATAAATTGCTCAGGCTAGCCTCAAATTTTCACTCATCCTGCCTCGGCCTCCTGAGTCACAGGGATTATAGATGTGAACCATCAGGCCCAGTTTGAACAATATACTTTTGTGTGTGTGTGTGTGCACGTGCTAGGGATTGAACTTGGGGGCACTCAACCTCTGAGCCACATCCTCAGCCCTATTTTGTATTTTATTACGAGAGAGGGTCTCACTGAGTTGCTTATTAGCACCTCACTATTGCTGAGGTGCTAATTTTTTTACCCACTTTTTTTTTTTACCACTATTTTTACCCACTTTTGACTTGTGTTACTGCCCACCCATGAATTATGTTTGAGGAGTTGAGATAAAGAAAACAACAGGTAGGCCTAGCAGAATTATATAGAACTTGGCCTAAATTATAGAGTTTCAGTTAGGAAAACTGAAAGTATGTTCATGTGGTGGCACAGACTTGTAATCCTAGCTACTCAGGAAGAAGCTGAGGAAAGAGGATGGCGAATTCCAGGCCATCCTGGGCAAATTTAGTAAGACCCTGTCTCAAAAGTCAAAAAACAAAAAGGGCTTGTGATGTAGCTCAGTGTTTCAGTCTTCAGTGCTGATGGAAAAGGGGGGAATATTTATATGTATGTGCTTGTTTCTCTTTACCTAAAGTATTGGTAAATTAATCTCTCTCAATCTCTATTTTTCGTATATTTTTCTAGGAAAAACAAGTATCCCAGCATCTTGCGATGTTCTAATATTTAGATACTTCTACAATACAGTTGAGGCTATCCTGAAGTTTGGCTTTAGTACAAATGAGGTGAAGTGTTAACCTGGCATTATTGCTGCCTCCATTGGGTCTGTTATCCTCATTTTACCCTCCCTGAAGCTTTGAAAGACTCACTGTTGCCAGTCATAGTGGCACATGCCTATAATCCCAGCAACTACTGATTCTACTGCCTCAGCCTCCAGAATCACTGGGATTTCAGACACCACCATAGCCAACTTCATTTTAATCTTTAAAGTGTGCTCCTTATACCTGGCAGAATAGCAAACACCTATTATCTCAGAGACTCAGGAGACGAAGGCAGGAGGATCACAAGTTCAAGACCAGCTTCTGTAATTTAGCAAGTCCCTGTCTCCAAACAAAAAGTAGAACAAAAAGGTTTAGGGATGTAGCTCAGTAGTAAAGCATCCCTGGGTTCAATCCCTATCACCAAATACATAAATAAAATTAACAGCATATTCCTCAAATAATTCTTTATTTCCTAATTTTTTAAAGTAATTTTAAGCCAGTTTCATAAAACAAAATACAGTTAATCTTAAAAAGAGGGCTTGTATGGCAGGTTATAGGCACATACCTATAACCCAAACTCAAGAGGCTGAGACAGGAGAATTGCAAGTTGGAGGCTAACCTGGGCAATTTAGCGAAACCCTGTATCAAATTTTTTAAAAAATAAAATTAAAAAAAGGACTGGGGATGTAGCTCAGTGGTAAAGCCACCCCTAGGTTCAATTCCCCAGTACCAAAAATAAATACATAAAATAATCAAAAGGAGTTAGGGGCATAACTCAGTCATAGAGCACAACTGGGTTCAATCCCTAGTACCATGGGAAAAAAATCCAATAATGATAAAATACAAAGGATTTAATATTTTTATTCATGGAAAACTTTTAATCTAGGCAAACAGGAATATGTTTGATTTCTATCTCTTCTGCATTTTAGGAAATTGCCTTAAAGAATAATTTACCACATTACCAATAATAACTTAAACTATTTCTTCAAATTTATATCATTTAGATAGTAGAATCAATTTAAATGCTGTAATGTAACAAAGGAATTAGTAACAGTTAAGGTAAGTTGGTTTTATTAAATTTCATTACACAGCAACACCACATAAACAACTTAAGTTGCCCAGTAAATTCTTTGTAAATTGAGTTTTTAAAAGATGAAAACTTCTAGTAGTTCATACCTGTAATCCCAGCAGCCCAGGAGGCTGAGGCAGGAGAATTGCAAGTTCAAAGCCAGCCTCAACAACTTAGAGAGTCACTGAGCCAACTTAGCGTGACCATGTCTCAAAATAAAAAAATAAAAATAAAAATGTTTTTCAGTGGTTAAGTGCCCCTAGTTCAATTCCCCATACCAAAAAAAAAAAATTAAATTAAATTAAAGCCTTAAAAGTAAGGAGTTATAAAAATTTTTTTCAATATAAAGAATTTAAAAGTAAGGAGTTATAAAAAAAATATTTTCAATATAAAGAATTCAATTTTCTAAAATCTATAAAGAGCCAGCCGTGTATCAGTGTTGCATGTCCATAATCCCACAACTCAGGAGGCTGAGGCAATAGGATTGCAAGTTTGAGACCAGTCTCCGCAACTTATTGAGACACTAATCGGCGGACTGGGTCCACAAGCAGGTCTGGGGGTAAAAGGTTTTGTCACTTTCGGAAGTTTCTTCAAGCAATCAGTATGTCAACCAACACAGATTTTTCTCTTTCTTCATATGATGAAGATCAGGGATCTAAATTTATCCAAAAAGCTAAAGGAGCACCATTTGTACCTATTGGAATGGCAGGTTTTGCAGCAATTGTTGCATATGGATTATACAAATTAAAGACCAGGGGAAATACTAAAATGTCCATTCACCTGATTCACATGCGTGTGGCAGCCCAAGGCTTTGTTGTAGGAGCGATGACTCTAGGTATGGGCTATTCCCTGTATAGGAATTCTGGGCAAAACCTAAACCTTAGAAGAAGAGATGCTGTCTTGGTCTTGTTGAAAGTACTTGTTTTTGTTATGTTAAAGTTATATGTTTATGTCAAAAAATAAATCCCTTGAGTGAGTTCAGGCTGTAACACAGTATTTTGAATAATGGCTTTTTTTCTTGCCCACTTGATTTGCCTAGTTATCAAATTATTAATGACTTCACTGACTAGGTCATTCAGGGAAGTCAAGTTAACACAAAAGTTAACTGGATAGTGTTATAACACTCACCTTCTTAAGTGCTTATACAGAAATTACTTCTAAAGACAAAAGGCCAGTCCTGAAATATTCCCAATTTACTACTGAATATCATACACATACTTTGAATGTTGGGTAGGAATCCTATTTAACCCAGTTAATTTAACTTTTTTCTACCTGCCTTGTGATCTGGTTTAAGAACTTCAGTTTTTTAGTATTACTTGGCTCTTAAAGAACTATTTCATATTTCACAAAAGTTCATGAAATGTAACTTATAAATCTTCCCACAACTGAGAGAGAGAGAGGAAGGGAGGGAGGGAGAGTTTGTGTGTGTTTAAACCATACCTGGAAAGCTCACAACAGAACTGCATAAAAGTAGTATTTATTTCAGAATCACACTTATAAACATAATAATTTAATTATTGATTCCACTTTAGCTCTTTTATAATTGCAGAATTATATTTTTGCTGTTGTATTAGAATAATTTTTAAATGTTATCTTGAAAGAGAAATATTTATTTTAAGTGCTAATAAAGAGAAATATTTATTTTAAGTGCTAATACAAAGGTAAATTAAGAACACGGTTTTAATGTGTGCAGTATATTTATTTTCTCTGTATGAATTGCAAGTGTTAAACAAATTACCTAAAATGGAAGTGATTGCTGTTTTTGAGCAAGCTGGTCTGGTCAGACATTATGTACGCTTCGGTAAACTACAGCATGCTTTAGTATACTTGTAAAATTCCCTTGTCTAACCTGAACTTACATTCCATGGTGATAACATGGTATATGTGTTGTTATTAAAATAACGAACACATCAAATGTCTTGTATCTGTTTGTTTGGAAAAATAAATCATTCTTCAGAGTAGCACAAAAATTAGGTTCCAAGAAAAAACAATGTTTTGTGCTTTTTTTTAACTACCATTAAAGAATACCTATGAAGTGGAAATAATAAATTATATATATTGAGTAAAAAAAAAAAAAAAAAGACACTAAGCAAATTAACGAGACCTTGCCTCAAAATAAAAAGGGCTGAGGATGTTGTTCAGTGGTAAAGCCCCCCCCCCAGGTTCAATCCTAGTAGCAAAACAAATGTAAAAATAAAATCTAGAAAGGTTTTAAGTATAGTGATAACACCATAATAGCACATTCTCCCCATTAAAGTAATTTACACTCTTTGATTTTAGGAACTGGAACGAGCATGGAGAGAATATGATAAGTTGGAATATGATGTAACTATTACCAGGAACCAGATGCAAGAGCAGCTAGATCGCCTTGGTGAAGTTCAGGTATGAAAGTGTTAATATCTTAACTGGTTTTGACTGATATTATACATCTGCCTCACTACATACACATGTACTCTTAACAATTTTTACATTTTGGCTACCTAAAATGTGGATTTGAAGATGGGCTAAGTGACACATGCCTATATTTTCAGCAACTCAAGAAGCTGAGGCAGAAGAACTGCAAGTTCGAGGTCAGCCTTAGCAACTTATCAAGACTGTCTCAAAAGATAAAAAGGCCTGGGGATGTAGCTCTGTGGTAAAACACCCCTGTGTTCAATCCCTAATTCTATAAAAAGAAAAAATGTTTATTTGAATATGTTCACTGATAGGAATTTTATTCCCAAGCTATCCCCCTTGTTCACAATTTTAATGCTTTATTCTAGCTGGGCTCATAGGTGCATGCCTGTAATCCCAGCAATTCAGGAAGCTGAGGCAAGAGTTTCAAAGTTAAACCAGTATCCACAACTTAGTTCAAGAGCAGCCTGTGAAATTCAGCAAGACTCTTCTTCAAAAAACTAAATCGCAGTGGGTCAGGAGGCCAAGACAGGAGGATCGCAGGTTCAAAGCCAGCTTTTGCAACTTAGCAAAAGCCTATCTCAAATTAAAAAAATATAAAAAAGGTTGTGTGGCTCAGTAGTTAAGTGCCCCTGGGTTCAACCCTTAGTACAAATAAAGAAAAATGGAGGGAGAGCGGAAAGGAGGACTGGGGGTATGCCTCAGTGATAGAGTGCCCCTGGGTTCGCTCCCCAGTATCCAAAAAAGAAAAAAGTTATTTATTCTGTAGGGTAAATGCTAAGTTTGGGTTGTTATTTTGCTGAGCTCTGTCAGTAGTTTCTATAAATTTGACTTCATATTCTTTCATTAGTCCATCCGTATCACTTGGTATTGAGTTGTGAATTTATGAAATAATGGTTATTATTTAAAATAATCTAACCCATTTTGTATTAAATTTATTTTTTACTAAACTATATTTAGTCTACTATCTTAATTGACCTATTAGAATGGGGAACATACAGCATCATTTGGTAGTATAAAGATCCTGTTTGTAAAGAGGCAGATCTGAAGTCAAGTTCCAGGGGTTAGTTTTCTTATCTGTAAAATAGAAATTAGAAGATCTGTCTTAAAGTGTTGCTCTGAGTGGAGATAATACGTTTTATAAAAATGATGCCACTATTTGGTTATGACCCTATTAAATATGATTATCTGCATTGGAAACCCAGTCACTGGACTTACCAGAGAAATCAATGCAACAGATAAAAGATTAGTAAGGGCCAGACATAAATTCCTGGTCAACCTCTGCAACCTAGCGAGACCCTGTCTCAAAATAAAAAAATAAATAAAAGGACTAAGGATGTAGTTCAGGGTAAAAGCAACCCTGTGTTCAATCCCTAGTACCAAATATATACATACATATGTATATATATATATATATATAAAAGCCACAAGTAGTTATGATATTCTTTGGAAAAAAAAATCTGGAAGACACATTCTGTGCATGGTAGACCAATGGAACCAGAATAGAACTTAGCAAGCATGAATATGTGACCCTGTCTCAAAATAAAAAGGTCTGGAGATGTGGCTCAGGGGTTAAGCACCCCTGGGTTCAATCTTTGGTACCAAAAAATTAATAAATAAAGTTTAATATATAAAGTAGGCATAGTATGAGATTAACAGCAATAATATAATACAATATAATTGTTATCATTGTTCTGTTTATTTAAAACTTACGAATTATTTATTTCTGGAATTTTCTATTTAATACTTTAGGATCTTGGTTGACTGTAGGCATTCAAAACTATGGAAGGCCAAATTAAGGATAAGGGAGGGCTACTGTATGCTTTCCATTTCTTTTGTTCTTCCCCTCAGAAGTTGGTTTTTGTTTTGTTTTAACTTGGGATTAGTGAGTTTCTTTTGTTTCTTTCTTCCTGTATTTTTTTCCATTTTTAGTCCTTCTAACCAGTATGCCTTCCTGGGATGATGCTAGGCAAAGCTATTAGAAAGATGCAAAATGTTACACTTAAGTCTGAAAAAACAAAATATTTTCTTTCTCTGCTTTAACTTTCATCTTTTCCACTAGGGTTGCAAAATTACAGGCATCACGTAGGTCATATTAAATATTCTTTCAATTAATCCATTGTAGTTCTCATTTTTAAATATATAATTAGTGGAATTATAACAGACTTTTTTTCTTGCATGTGGTCTACCATTTTTACTGATAGACTGAATCAGCAGGAATTCAACGTGCACAGATTCAGAAAGAACTTTGGAGAATCCAAGATGTCATGGAAGGGCTAAGTAAACACAAACAGCAAAGAGGCACTCCAGAAACAGGTAAATTAGCTTTGCTTTTATTTTGTCATAAAATGGAATAGTGCATGCACATTGTTGAGTTTCTTTTTTCTTTCTTTTTTTTTTTTTTTTTTGTTTTTGTTTTGTTTTGTTTTGTTTTGATTGTTGATTGGTTGGTAACAGGGATTGAAACCAGGAGTGCTATCTCAGCCTCTAGGGACGCTGTACCACCCACCTGTCTTTTGTTGTTTTAGTGTAGGCTTTACATCAGAAAACAAACACTCTTGTAACAATGAATTAGTACCTAAGTTTATAAAGTAAAATCAAAAGCTCTGCCAGCCCCACCTACACACACACACACACACACGCACGCACGCACATATACACACACAAATAAATAAATTGTAAATGTTTAATTTGTAATTAAACATTTTTAAAAAAACATTTAATTTACAACAAAAATGTAAAAAAGAAATTTAATTAAACAAAAATCATTGTTTATAATTATAAACATACACAGTATTTTGGCGTTAGGAGTTGTTTTTGTCTTCAGCTTCTCTTCTGAATGTTATTAGAGGAAAAAAAGTGGAGGGGGTTGTGTTATACCTATTTTTCCACAATGCTTTTTTTCTTTTTCATGATACATAAACTGCCTAAGTATTCATTATATAACTGAACTATAGTTTAAGCCAGCGGTGGTGGCACATGCCTGTAATGCCAACAGCTTGGGTGGTTGAGGCAGGAGGATTGTGAGGTCAAATCCGGTCTCAGCAACATAGCAAGGCCCTAAGTAACTCAGTGAGACCCTGTCCCTAAATAAAATACAAAAAGGGCTGGGGATGTGGTTCAGTGGTTAAGCACCCCTGGATTTACTCCCCGATACCAAAAAAAGAGAAAAAGAACTCTCATTTATTTATCCATTGCTATATTGATGGACATATACTTTGTTTCTAGTAACAGCAGAATACACTTGCTAGTACTTAGTGAATTCCAAGAAATGAGAAATAAGCACCTATCTTCCATTTTGAATGGATATATCCAGATTGCTCTTCTAAAAGATATCAAATTATGCTTGCACCAATAATATTTGAGGAAACCCATTTCTCCATGCTCTTGTCTAAATCAAATATTTTAATGTTTTTTAAAAATGTAATTGACCTCAAATTCTGAATATATTAATAGAGGGACTCAACTGAAGTCTGCATTTAAAATAAGTGAAATGAAATTATTCTTATAGATTTAGGAAAATGTGTTTAGTGTAAGTAGTTATGTTTTCTAATTTTTTCTAATAGGTATGGCAGGATCAAAACCTTTCTCTACAGTTAAGTACAAAAGTGAGGTAAGCTGGGATTTTTTTCTCTAACTATACATTATTTTAAATGTTGAACACATGAATTATAAGTAATTATGTTTTCTCTTTTCTAACCATAACAAAGATGTTTTTTTAAAATATATCAAAGTTATTTGAATCTTGAAATTTGCTTCAGTAATTTGGTGCTTCTAACATTTTGCTTCCTGTAATGTAAAAAAAAAAAAAGTAGTATTTTTCATTCATGTTAGATCTTTAACATTGTCATTCTTTTTCTAAGTAATTTGAATATTTATCATGGTTTCTTATAGTTTGTAAAATTTGTAGGATGATTGATAAGTTTACTTGGTCTTATGCATGGCATTAAGAAAATAGCACTACAAAGAGATACTGTCAACCTAAGTGAAACATTCTGTGGTTTTTGAATTTTGTGTGATGTCAAAAAGAAATGTTTCTTTTTCTCTCATAAAAATTGCAAAAATATTAATAAGATTTTTTAAACTAATTATTTCTTCTCCTTTTTAAATGAAATGGAGTAGTTTCACTCAGTAATCTGTTTCATTGTTGAGTTTTAGTGTAAAACTACTTATATGTTATGGGAAAACATTTAAAACCCAATTATTAAAAACATTTAAAACCCAATTATTAAAAACATTTAAAACCCAATTATTAAAAACATTTAAAACCCAATTATTAGCTATCGTTAAAATCTTGGCTTTCACTTTTCACTTTGAGATTTTGGCTTGTCAGTATCCCTTTAAATATCTTAAAGTAAATTTAGGTTAATATACCATTGCAAAGAATTTAGATATGCTTAATTTAATCTGCTTGTCTAAATAAGGTGACTATTCTACAATCTTTAGGAAGAGGAAGTAGTCCCACCTCGTCCTCCACTTCCTCGGTCCTATGACTTTACAGAGCAGCCTCCCATAATCCCCCCTCTGCCCAGTGATAGCAGCTCCTTGCTCTGTTATAGCAGGGGCCCAGTGCATCTTCCTGAAGAAAAGAAGATTCATCAAGTTCAAGGATATCCAAGAAATGGATCTCACTGTGTAAGTGGCTGGAATAGCCACAGAATAATCAATCAATCATACATGCCCTCTCATTTTTGAAAATTAATTTATTTTATATTCAAAGTATAGTTTTATAATACCAATGTTAGCTGGAGTTTTTGTTTTATATATAGTTTTATCATTTGTGTTTTTCCTATTTTGATTTTATCATTCTCACTTTTTAAAATTTTCATAATCTGAATGTTTCATGATTTCATAATGTCTTTTCATAAAATGGTTACTTTGTACATGTTGAAAGAACTATACCTTTTGAATTTCCATTTTAGGATGTTAGAGGCATGATCATGGTTTTTGTTGATATTGTTGCTGTTGAGATGGAATCTAAGTTGCCCAGACTAGCCTGGAACTTGAAATCCTCAGCCTTCTCAGTAGCAGGAATCTTTAGATCAAAAAGAATGGAGAATGAAAAAGGTTTATACTAGAAATGGCACAAGAGTTAAGACTTAGGAAGCTTGGTATAGGAAAACCCTTCAAAGATATGCACATTGCCAAGGAAAGATATTACCCCTGGGACATGGAAATAAGAGGTTTGGAATTAAGCAAATAAATGTGAAATGTAATTGTCAAGGAAAAGAAAATAAGAAAAACAATTGAGCCAGACACAGTGGTGCAAACCTGTGATTCCAGAGGCTAAGATAGATGAATCACAAGTTTGAGACCAGGCTGAACAACTTGGTGAAACCCTGTCTCAAAATCAAAAATATAAAGCACTGGGGATGCAGCTTAGTGGTAAAACACCCCTGGGTTGAATCCTCAGTACTGCAAAGGAAAAAAAAAAGGAATAAGCTAATTGTGAGGAAAAAATAAACTGTTTCCTGAGAGAAATTCACTGCTGGGATGTATCTCACTTAATCAGATCACCTTTTAAATGAAAATTGTATTACTGAGTGATAAGCTTATTTTTAGATCTAAGATATACCATAATAAGAATGTGATTTTGCAGCAAAGGATGGCTTAGTGGTAGATCCTGTATGTTAGGCCCTTAGGTTCAATCCATCCCCAGCACCAAAAATAAAAAGTGACTTTGTCCCTAAGAGAAATATTCTTAATTTTAAAACAATAACTTTTACTAATTAAAAAATCTTTCAAATTACTTTTTTCTACTTAGTTGTTCTTTATGTATTAGTTCTGTTATATCCAGGATAGCCAACTGGGACTTATAGTTTTTAAGAGTTTGATTTGAGTATTTTTAATGGTAAACATTTTTAAATGAATTTATAGCTAGATGTTAGTGGCACAGGACTGTAATTCCAGTGATGTAGGAGGCTCACAAATTTCTAGGCCAACCTTGGCAATTTTAATGATACTCTTCTCACAAAGTAAAAAGGACTAAGGGTATAGTTCATATGCCCTTGAGCTCAGTCCCAAGAATCACAAGAAAGAAAGAAACTTGTTGCTTTTTTTTTTTTTTTTTAATTATTATTTGTCTTCTTTTCAAGGGTCCAGACTATAGACTCTACAAGAGTGAACCAGAGTTAACAACAGTGGCAGAGGTTGATGAATCTAATGGAGAAGAAAAATCAGAACCTGTTTCAGAGATGGAAACTCCAGTTATTAAAGGTCAGATATGTTTTATCTCCTTTTTTTGTTTTGTTTTCAGATACCTTAGTATTATATTCAGTTTACATGTTGACCCAGTACCCATACAGATTCACAATCCTTTATCTGAAACTTTTGGAGTCTCATGAATTTCTGATTTGGGAAATTTTCAGATATTAGGAAGGTAACATTGCCGAAAAACCATACGTCATCACAAATAGGCATGAGGCAGCACCCTTTTTTAAACTCATTGATGTGTCTGGAATAGTCATCTTAAGTGGAGTATAGACTAAAAAGTATCAGATCAGGTTAGGTTTTACTGAAAAATAAGTTGATGCCAAACTTTTTAAAAGCTTTGCATTTACTGAGTTATTTTTTCCAATTTCAAAATTATTCTTGAGCACAATGGCTAAAACAAATTTTCACACACTTGTTTAAAAATAAATTTCAAAATAATACTTTTTCTTAACTATACAAACTCTTCTGGTGGTAATGTTTAATGCTGTTCATTCTTCAAGAAGTCAGTGTCGTAAAGAAAAGGATAGCCAAGAGGATTCTTCTAGATTAAAAAGATTTTAAAAGAAAAAAACTCAGGCTGGAGATACAACTCAATGCTAGAGAGTTTTCCTAGCATGTGGGAACACATAGGTTCAATCCCTTCAAAAACAAAGATTATGAAGGTAGTGCTTGAAATTTGTCTGGAACATTATTTAAAAGGAAGAACTATGGGCCGGGGTTGTAGCTCAGTGGTAGCGTGCTTGCCTAGCACATGTGAGGCATTGGGTTCAATCCTCAGTACCACATAAAAATAAATAAAATAAAGGTATTATGTCTATCTACAACTAAAAAATTATTTAACAATAAAAAAAGGAAGAACTATAAAAACATTCTTGGGACAATTCCGGAAATATAAACATGTTCTGGATGTTAGCTAATAGCATGATCATATTACAGTGGTTACGTAGAAAAATATAAGTGAATTCTGAAAAACTTAAAGAGAAAAGTATTGTCAGCTTATTTTGAAATGATTCACCAAAAAAAGTACATGTGTGTATGTTTACATATTTATTCAAAGATATAGCAAAGATGGCAAAGTATAAAAACTTTCATAAAAATAAATGCTATTCATTATTTCCTGACTGATTCTCATAGTCTGCTGAAGGATCATAAAGTTAAGTATGAAAAACACATAAAATGTAATGTTCACATAGATTTTTCCATAATTGGAGTATTTTTCTGGGTCATGTAACATCACATTGGGATGGGGGTTTCTGGCAATTGAACCTAGGACCTTGTTGCATGCTAAACATATATATATATATATATATATATATATATGACTAGGCATTGAACCCAGGGGTGCTTTACAACTGAGCTACATTCCCAGGCCTTTTAATTTTTTCTTTTGAGACAGGATTTCACTAGGTTGCTTAGGGCCTCACTGAATTGCTGAGGCTATCCTGGAACTTGTGATCCTCCTGCCTCAGACTCCCAAGCCACTGGGATTACAGGTGTGCACCACCAGACCCAGCAAAACTTGATATTTATATTTTTCTCATTCTCTTCCTAAATTTTATCTTCTCTTCATTGAAATCTTTGTTAATATTTTACTTTTCTATACATAAACTAAAAAGCCATAGTCTTATTTTTTATCATTTGATGTATATTATTATAGATATGTGGGGGAACTAGACTACAAGCAAAGGAAAATAATATTTTTGGTAATATGGCCAACTTCAACTTCAGCCAGTTCTCCAACAGTGTGATTACAAATGCAGACCAACGGCCTTTGGGGGGGGGGGGGGGCGGTTCAGGGATTGAACTTGGGGCATTCAACCACTAAGCCACCTCCCCAGCCCTTTTTGTTTTTTTTTTTAATTTCAAAACAGGGTCTATGCTGAGTTGCTTAGCACCTCATTGCTGAGGCTGGCTTTGAACTCACAATCCTCCTGCCTCAGCCTCCCAAGCTGCTGGGATTACCGGCATGTTCCACTGTGCCCAGCCCAATACCATTTTTAATATCTTTTTCCTTGTTTTGGGGTTTGTTTGTTTTAGAAACGTCAACCAATTGAGGAAAAATAAAGAAAGGAATACTCAGAGACCAATAATTATATGAGGATCTACAAGTTAAAGTGGAGCACTAGAGTCAGCTTTCATCTTATAACAGAACAAAGTTCAGAGCCTGAACATATTAGGAATCTTGTTAGGAAACATGTCAAATAAAGTTGGACCCTTAGGGCTGGGGATGTGGCTCAAGCGGTAGCGCGCTCGCCTGGCATGCGTGCGGCCCGGGTTCGATCCTCAGCAATGCATACAAATAAAGATGTTGTGTCCGCCGAAAACTAAAAAATAAATATTAAAATTCTCTCTTTCTCTCTCTCTCTCTCTCTCTCTCTCTCTCTCAAAAAAAAAAAAAAATTATTAAAAAAAATAAATAGTTGGACCCTTAAAAAGGACTATACTTTCAATGAAACTGGTTTGTTGTAGTTCATCCAAATGTAAAATTTCTGCCCATCAGAATAAGGGAAAATACTATCAATACATGTTTTGACAGAAACCTTATGTCCAGAGTATATAAACAACTCTCCAAATTACTAATAAAGACAATCGACCCAATAATAAATGAGCAAAAGATTTGGGCCCTTAACAAGTATGATATACAAATGATTAGTAAGTACACAAAAAAATTAGAACTTACTAATTGTAAAGCAAATGCAAATTGAATGCAATTTTAAACCATAATTCATACCCTCTAGAAAGGTTAAACTGAGACTGATACCATCTGGTATTGGTTAGGATGTAAGACAATTAGAAGTCACACATTTCTGATGGAAGTATAAGATGGAACAACAGTTTGACAGTTTCTTATAAAGTTAAATATTCATCACTTACTGGCCTTTTGACTTAAGATCAAGTATAAATTTAGATATTCAGTTATCATATGATTTCCTATATATTTACCTAAGAAAAGTAAAGCCAGTGCGGTAGCACATGCTTTTAATTTCAGCAACTCAGGAGGCTGAGACAGGAGTATCCCAAGTTTAAGGCCAGACTAATCAACTTAGGAAGATCCTGTCTCAAAATAAAAAGGGGCTGGTGATGTAGGTTAGTGGTAGAGTGCCCCTAGGTTCAGTACACATGATACCATTTAAAAAAAAAAAAAAACAGAAAAGAAAGGAAGGAGAAAGGGAAATAAGTAGGTGGAAACATCAATTTTAAGAAAGACTTATACCTTGTACATTTTATAATTGTATAGCAGCTTTAATTCACAATAGATAAAAAATGGAGATAACTGTGATTAATAAACTGATGTTCACACAGTGACATATTCCTCAGCAGTTAAATTACTCAGATATGTACAGCATGTATGAATCTTAGCAACACATAAATATCAAAATAAAGAATGTTGGGGCTGGGGTTGGGGCTCAGCGGTAGAGTGCTAACCTAGCATGTGCAAAGCCCTGGGTTTGATCCTCAGCACCACATAAAAATAAATAAATAAAATAAAGGCATTGTGTCTAACTACACTTAAGAAATAAAAAAAAAGAAAGAAAGATTGTTAAGTTAAAAGGAGCCTAACACAGGAGAAACATACTGTGTGGTTCCCTTTATAAAGTTTGAAAACAGGTAGAAGTAATCTATTAGTGATAAATATAGAAAAGTGTTTGCCTTTAGTAAAGGGTGGGATTGACAAACGACCTTTTTGGGGATGTATCTTGGTTGACATGATTACACAAGCTTGTATTTTTATCCAGATCTCATCAAACCAGGCGCAGTAGCACATGCCTATAATCCAGCAACTCAGGATGCTGAGGCAGCAAGATCACAAGTTTGAGGTTAGCCTCAGCAACTTAGCAAGGCCCTAAGCAACTTAGTGAGGCCCTGTCTTAAAATATAAAAAGGGCTGGGGATGTGGCTCAGTGATTAAGCACCCCTGGGTTCAATCCCCAGTACCCCAGAAAAGAAAAAAACCTCATTGGTTTCACACTGAAGATCTGTACTTTCAATATACATTTTTGTTTTTTTCAAAACTTGGGTCATTTGGTAAAGACTAATAATAACCAGGCGAGTTTTCCATTTACTGAATGTCAGTTAAGAGAGCTCTACGGTATTTTAGGTGGAAGGAATGTAATCAGATATGGTAGTCTAAGAAGGAATTAAAGTAGTAAATAAATGAGTAAACCTAAACAACATTGACTGTATATAACCCAAGTAAAAATGTATTTTTTCATGGCTGGGGATGTAACTCAGTGGTATGGTACTTGCATTGTATACTCAAGGCTGTAGGCTCAATCCCCAGCACCACACACACACACACACACACGCGCGCGCACACAAAGGTAATCTGGAACTTAAAAAGTTGTATTAAATAGTGGACAAAAGCAGCATAAAAATCAGAAGGAGGGGATTGGGCATATAGCTTAATGGTAGAGTACTTACCTCACATACACAAGGCCCTGGGTTCAATCCCCAGCACCACCAAAAAAAAAATCAGAAGGATGTTCATCGGTATTAATATAAGGGCTCTACTTTGTTCCAGAGGATAGTATCTTTACTAACTTTAGACTTACTAACTTTAGTTTAAGTATACATGATTAGATATAAAATTAAAAGTTTCTCCAGCTTCCAAAGTAAAGAAACAGAAGGAAGGCAAAATAATCCAAAAGAAGAAAGAGGAGAAATTAGAAGATGGAAAAAATGCAAAGCCAAAATTAGATTAGCAGAAATAAATCTAAGTATATCAGAAATGACAACAGACTAAGCTGGGCAATGTTCCAACAACTTGGAAGACAAGGCAAAAAGATTACAAATTTAAGACCAACCTCAATAACTTAGCAAGATCTTGTATCAGAATAAAAAGAACTTGGATGTAGCTCAGTAATATAGCACTCCTGGGTTCAATCTCCAGTACCAACAACAAAAGAAATTATAACAAATTAAATCAAATGGGGCTGGGGATGTGGCTCAAGCGGTAGCGCGCTCGCCTGGCATGCATGCCGCCCGGGTTCGATCCTTAGCACCACATACAAACAAAGATGTTGTGTCCGCCGAAAACTAAAAAACAAGTACTAAAAGTCTCTCCCCCCGACTCTCTCTCTCTCTCTCTCTCTCTCTCTCTCTCTCTCTCTCTCTAATAAATAAATAAATAAAATGATTCACTTGAAATAACATTGTAAGACTGGGAATGTAGTGCAGTGATAGAGCACTTGCCTAGCATATTTGAGGCCTTAGGTTCAGTCCCCAATACCATAAAAATTAAGATTGTCAAACTGGATTAAATACAGCTATGTAGTGTTTATAAAAATCATCCAGAACATCATGTGTAAACACACACCTATTATCCTAGCTCCTCCGGAGGTTGAAGCAGGAAGATTACAAGTTTGAGGCCAGCCTTGGCAACTTGACAAGTCCTTATTTCAAAACAAATAGGGCTGAGGATGTAACTCAGTGCTTGCCTAGCATGCTCAGCCCCGAGTTCAATCTCCAGTGCCACGAAAAACAAACAACAAAAAAACCCTCCAGCCAGGTATAATGGCACACAAACCTGTAATCCTGGAGCTCAATAGGCTGAGGCAGGAGAATCATAAGCTCTAGGCCAGTCTAAGCAATTTACTAAGACCCTGTCTCAGAATAATATTTTAAAACGGCTTGGGAATGTAGCTCGGTGGCAAAGTACCACTGTGTTGATCCCCAGTGCCAGACAATGAAAAAAATCCTGTAAAACTTAAAGCTACTAAAAATTGACTTGGGGTCACAGTACATACTGGGCATTGAACCCAGGATCACTTTACTACTGAGCTACATCACCAGGTCTTTTTTTTATTCAAGTGTGTGTGTGTGTGTGTGTGTGTGTGAAAATATGCAAAATGAAACGTATATTTTAGGAATTCAGAGGGTCATAGCCAATAGCCAACAACCCTTCTAACAAAAAATGGTTAGCAAGAAAAAAAGCATAACAGATTTATATGAGGATAGTTTTATAGTGAACCAAGCCTTCAAATTAAAGATACAAATGGTAAACTATCCATTTTTTTTTTGCTTAGGTTCAGTGAACCATGGACATCCTTGTAGAACTGTGGTTGGACAAAAAGAATGATCAAACAGTAATAAATGAGGGAGGTAGGGGGAACCTAGCAAGGCTTGTCTGTTCAGATTCTTCTTGGCCTCTTTGAGCAACATTCTTTCCTTCCAAATATGGAGCAACACCTTTTCCAGATGGAGATATTATGACCTACTCAAATATGTAACTGAGAATTTTTTTTTCTTTGCTAATATATGTTTAGGTTTTATGATTGACTTTGGGGAAAACAAGGGTTCTGGTTACTGTGATCTGTCTTAGGGAAGGGGAATTCTAGTTTCTAAGGCCTTCATTGAAGGAGAATTGCGGAATAAGAAACAGGAGGACAAGAAGAGAAAATTATTGCTTTTGAGACCTTTACTTTGGGGTATCATTTTCAGAGACTCAACGTTAGAAAGACATGTAATTCGGTAGCTATTAACTTCTGAAGAGAAAAGAAGAGATAAGATTAGGGAGAATTAAGAACAGGATTTTTTTTTTTTTTTAGTTGTGGATGGACATAATACCTTTATTATTTGTTTTTATTTTTATGTGGTTCCGGGCATCAAACCTAGTGCCTCACGCATGCTAGACAAGCGCTCTACTACTGAGCCACAACCCCAGCCCCAAGAACAGGTTTTAAAGGTAATGCTGGGAGAGTTTTTTGTTGTTGTTGTTTTTCTTTTTTTAGGTACTGGGGATTGAACCCAGGGGATAGTAACTACTGAGCCACATCCCCAGCCTTTTTTATTTCAATTTCAGACAGGGTCTTTCATCACTAAGATGCTGAGGCTGGCTTTGAACTTTCGATCCTCCTGCCTTGGCCTCCCAAGCTGCTGGGATTACAGGTGTGTGCCACCACACCCAGCAGAATGGAAAACAGGAGGGCAAGAGTTATTCTGAGTTATAATTTATCTCATATATTCAGTTATAGAATTTATTCCTTTAAAAATAATTAAATAATTTATTCCTACATATGTATTCTAAAACATTCTAAAATCAAAAACCAAAAGTCAAAACATACCAAACAACAGGGAATTTCTCTGATATAGTCAGTAAAAGGAATCATTCAGCCAAAAATCTGTTCAATATATTCCAACCTCTTATGGTCTAGTACTTTGCTTTATATTTGTATGAGCAGGAATCCATATTTTGGGTATGTATACCAGAGATGACATGAAAATGAAGTTGGGATCTTTGTGGTTAACCTGAACGTATTAGAAACCAAAGAGATAATTGTGATATGCAGCCCATGGTTCTGAGCGAATGGTAGATCCAGACTGAACTAGACATTGCAAAATAGGCAACAAAGTTCATGCAAGAATCAGTATCAATTTCCAAATGTCTAGCCAGGCATAGTGGCACACAGCTGTAATCCCAGTGACTTGGGAGGATGAGGCAGGAAGATCAGAAGTTTAAAACCAGACTCAGGGACTTAGCAAGACCCTTTCTCAAAAATAAAGAAAAGAATTGGGGGCTGGGCATTGTGCCACATGCCTATAATCATAGCAGCTCTGGGAGATGAGGCAGGAGTTTTGCAAATTCAAAGCTAGCCTCAGAAACTTAGCAAGAACTGTCTCAAAATAAAAAATTAAAAGGGCTAGAGATGTGGCTCAGTGGTTAAGTGTCCATGGGTTCAATCCCCAGTACCAAACAAACGAAACAAAGCAAAACTTCCAAATAACCAATAGCTCGTTAATGAATAGTATCTATTATATCAAAAACCCCTACTTCCCTCTTCAGGAATTTGATCCACAGGACAGTAACAAATTGTTCAGTTGAATGGTGGGCCATAACTTTCATAATTTGTTTTATGTGAGTGCATTATACTAACTAGTTAAGATGATAATGGAGATGTACCACTGCAACAAAAAAGAGTATTTTATATATAGTTAATGATTTAATGTCATTTGTCAATCTGTAAAACTTTATTTGTAAATTTAACCCTAAATTTGTCTTGTAATGACTATCTTATGGCTCTTTTCAAATAATAAATTGTAAAATCTTCCAGAGGGCTGGGGTGTAGCTCAGTGGTAGAGTGTTTGTCCACCATGTGCAAAGTTTAGTCCCAACAACACAGAAAATACACAATTAAATAAAAGCCACAGAAATTAAGTATATCAAAAGAAAGCCATGTTTATAAAATGATGTTTTATAGAACTTAATGCCATTTTAATTTTCAGGTTCCCACTTTCCTGTTGGAATAGTTCCTCCAAGAACAAAATCACCAACACCCGAATCTTCGACAATAGCTTCATATGTAACCTTGAGGAAAACTAAGAAGATGATGGATCTAAGAACGGTATTTAAGTAGAAATTAGCTTCTGGAAATTAGATTCTCAAGCATATCTATTGTTTTCTTTTATCTTTCTATTTATAGCCTTTTATCAGAATTCTATTTAGATACTCTAAGAAAAACTTGGTAATTTTTTCAATTACATTTACAGAATTAGCACCTCAGAGGACAGGCCTAATCAAGATATCTTTTTTTAATCAGCCTTCACATGTAGTCTCCAGTTTTATGGAATCTATTCTTTATTGGTTGCCCTATACTTCATCCCTTAATACTAATAAGAATTTCCTTGATAAACCTGTCAGATATATCCTGAAGCCACTCAAAATTTAATGGATTTCCTAACTATCTTGAAGTTGCAGGGCCTTTTAGCTATTGTTGTTCTGAAGTTTGGTAATCCTCTGGTTACTCTGAAAAATGTGAATTGGGACAGGGAAATAAATCCTATATTTTACATTTTCATGTGAGACTCCTTTCATTCAGTCTGATTCTAAACCTATGTAATATTCTCAGGAAGATGCTGAGAATTCTTAACTACGTATCTCCTAAGTATTCTCTAGAGCTCTGGATTGGAAACTTTTACTTTTTATCTTTATAAATAAGATAATTTTAGGGTATAAGACAAGACTGAGGGGCTGGGGTTTCGCTCAGTGCTAGCTAGAGTGCTTGCCTATCATGGGTGAGGCACTGGGTTTGATCCTCAGCACCACATAAAAATAAATAAAATAAATAAAAATAAAGGCATTGTGTCCACCTATAACTAAAAAAATTTTTTTTAAAAAAAGAAAAGACTGATATATATGGCTATTGAATGGTATTAGTGTAATGGCATATACATACATAAAGTATATGCCAAAAAAAAAACTGATAAATTTATATACAAGGAACATAAACTAAGCATAGTAGCATACAGTTGTAATCTTAGTGACTCAGGAACCTGAGACAGGTGTATCTCAAAATCAAGTCCAGCCTGGAAAACTTAGCAAGACCTTGTCTCTCAAAATAAAAAAAAAATAAAAAGGCCTGGAGATGTCACTTCATAGTAGAACACCCCTGGATTCAATCCCTAGTATGAATGGAAGAAAGGAAAGGAGGAAGGAGTTTCAATTAGTACAAAAATATAAAGACCTATAAAAATAATGATTATAGAATAAAAATCATAGCTATATATCAGTATGAACATTAGTGGTCATGGTTCTACAGTAGTATTAATTAAGAGAGGGAGGGGCAATTTTTATAAATTGGAAGGGTTGGAGGTTTTTTTGTTTGTTTTAATCGTAATGGTAAAATAGCAAATCAAGAGAAAAAGAAATATACAAAGCATATTGAAAGCAAACAGAAAGATTATAGTAGATGTTGTTTTATAATTATCTTAAATACTAGAAGAAAGACATATTTAACCCAAATACTGGAGGAAAAAAATATGGGAGATTATGGGTATATAACCTTGACATAGGAAACGCCTTTATAAGTGATACTAGTGCCAAAAGAAAATGCTTTCAATGCATTTAACAGAAAAGTTCCATAGTATTTGAGACACATCTATAAATTGCATTTATTGTTTATTTGTGGTGCTGGGGATCAAACCCAGAACATTGTACATGGTAGGCAAGTGCTATACCATTGAACTACATACCCAGCCCTTATAAATTTGTTGGTCTACATTTGTTTGTTTGTAATGGAAAATAATATAACAATAATATATAAACATGAAAAATGATCAACCACAATAATAATTTTTAAAATATGACTCTTTATTCTTTAGAAAGAATAAAGTAGTTGTGTACAGAACTTAACTTGGAGAAGGATGTTACAGTGTGAAAACATTTTTGCATATGCATGGAAAATATTTGGGACAAACATAAATTAGCTGCTACTAAAAATGATAGGAGCTGGACGTGGTAGTACAAACCTATAATCCCAGCAGCTCAGGATGCTGAGATAGAGGATCACAAGTTCAAGGCCAGCCTTAGAAACTTAACAAAATTCTGTACCAAAATAAAAAAAGGGCTAGGAATGTGACTTGATGGTTAATTTAGAGAATTAGCACTCAGAGGACAGACCTAATCAAGATATCTTATTATTAGGACAGACCTAATCCAGTGGTCAAGCACCCCTGGGTTCAATCCCTAGTACCAAAAAAAAAAAAAATGAAAATTATAGGAAAATACTGCTAAAATGGTTAACTTTGCAATCATCTATTCTCTTCTACACATTAAGACTTTTTGTTTACCTTTTAGGTGTTTTTTTTTGTTGTTTTGTTTTGTAGCACTGGGAATTGAATCCAGAGTGGTTTACCACTGAACTACATGCTATATCTCCAGTCTTTTTTTTTTTTTTTTTTGAGATAGGGTCTCCCAAAATTGCTGAGGCTGGCTTTAAACCTGTGTTTTATCTGCATCAAACTTCCTAAGTTTCTGGGATTATAGGAATGCATCACTGCATCTGGCCTCCTTTTAGTTTTTTGTTTTGTTTTTTTTAGCTTTTTAAAACCCTTTATTTATCTAAAGTCCCAGCACTCCAAGAAGCTGAGTAAGAGGATTTCAAGTTAAGAGGCCAGGCTGGGCCTGGCGGTATATTTCTGTGATCCCAGCTACTGGGATACTGAGGCAGGAGGATCACAAGTTTGAGGCCAGCCTCAACATTTTAGCAAGATCATGACCAACATAGCAAGACCCTGTCAAAAATAAAAAAGACTTGAATTGTGTAGCTCAGTGGTAAAGTATCCCCTGGGTTCAATCCTCAATACAAAAAAAAAAAAGAAAATCCACCAAGAAGTTATGAGACCACCCTGGGCAACTTAATGAGATCCTATAACTCAAAATTTTAAAAAGTTAAATTTAAAAATTTCAGCAGGCATGGTGAAGCATGCCTGGAATCCCAGAGGCTCAGGAGGCTGAAGCAGGAAGATCATGAATTCAAAGTCAGCCTTGGCAAAGGCAAGGTGCTAAGCAACTCAGTGAGACCCTGTCTCTAAATAAAATACAAAGTACAGCTGGGGATGTGAATCTCAGTGATCAAGTACCCCTGAGTTCAATCCCCGGTACGCCTCCAAAACAAAACAGAACAAAATTTAAAGAAAAGGGCTGAGGAGGTTGCTCAGTGGTTAAGCAGCCGTGGATTCAATCTCTGGTACAAAAAAAATAAAGAGTAGAACCACCATATGACCCAGCTATGGTCCTGCGGTAAGCTTACTCCAGAGGAGCCATACCCTCTTACATTTTGATTTTTTTCAGCCAAGAAAATACATTCTCCATGCACACATACATACGTTCATGCTTCCCCTCTCACCCCCACCTTATATCTTCCTTTTTCTCTTCCTTTCCATTATTGATCATGCATCACCAATTATCTATTAGGGATAAAATAACTTAATCTGTATTCTGGTGTTACTCTACTGACATTCAAAACCTCTCCATTTTTTTTTTTTTTCCTCAGTACTGGGATTGAACCCCTGGGCACTGTACCATTGAGCTACATCCCCAGTTCTGTTTTTAATTTTATGTTGAGACAGGATCTCACTAAGTTGCTGATACTGGCCTCAAATTTGTAATCCTCTTGCCTTACCTCCCAAATTGCTGGGATTACAGGCATGTGCCTCTGCGCCCAGCTCCAGCTTCCACTTTTGATTATGAAAACAAGATAAGTACACTGTACAATATTGTTCATCATCCTTTGCAGAAGTTACTCTATGTTCATGTGTTTATTTTTAATTTCAAGGAAAGACCAAGAAGTGCAGTGGAACAGCTCTGTTTGGCAGAAAGTACTCGACCTAGGATGACTGTGGAAGAACAAATGGAAAGAATAAGAAGACATCAGCAAGCATGCCTAAGGGAAAAGAAGAAAGGATTAAATGTTATTGGTGCTTTAGACCAGTCACCCCTACAAAGTCCTTCTAATTTAAGGGATAATCCATTCAGGGTTACTCAGGTACATCAGCTGCTTTTGGTTATTCTTGCATATAAATCTAAAAATCACTTGTATTTTAATGTTACGTGATTAATGAGTTTCTGAAGATCTACAGTATAGTTTGGGGGGGTTGTTTTTGTTTTCAGGGGGTACTGAGGATTGAACCCAGGGGTGCTTTACCACTATGCTATATCCACAGCTCTTTTTATTTTTAATTTTGAGATGGTAGTCTTGCTAAGTTGCTTAGGACCTTGCTAAATTGCTGAGGCTATATTGTGTCTTGATCCTCCTGCCTCAGCCTCCCAATCACTAGGATTATAGGTGCATACCACTACACCCAGCTTAAATAGTTATTTTGTATTTTATAATTCTTATAGTAGTAAGATGAGACAACTTATTAAAATGAAAATAACACTGGGCTGAAAGAGACCAGAGCCAAAATATTCCTTGGATACCCAGGTATCTGTTTGGATTTTATCTTTTTAACTGTAATCTACTGATATAACCTTAACCATATACTACACATATTTCTCTGTGTCCTAATTTATTATGAACTAAATTGTAGCAGGAAGCTGGGTACAGTGGTACACATCTGTAATTCCAGTGACTTGGGAGGCTGAGGCAGCAGGATTGCAAGTTCAAAGTCAAGCCAACTTGGGCAGCTGGCAAGACCCTGTCTCAAAAAAGGGACTGGGGATGTAGCTCAGTGGTAAAGTGCCCCTGGGTTCAATTCCCAGTACCCAAAAAATAAATAAATAAACTACAGCAGGAAAGGACTTCTAAATAGACAATCTAAGTCAGCTATTTTTCACATGTCAGTTTTAACCTTATAAAATGTCACCATTCCATTTTCTTTGTTTCAAATTTCCCCTCTTCATAAATATGAATGGAAATGGCAGTCTAGTGGTCTTTTCAGTAGCTTCTATCTGGCCTATCTCTATTAGTAGACAGTGGTCACCTATGGGTAGAGTTCCTATACAGTGGCATAAACTAGATACATCAGCAGAAAGTGCTTCCCTGACCTTATAGACATCCACTTTCTATGTAATCAAAAACAGGCCTTGCTAATGGAAAACAAACAAACTGACAGTTGAATAATAACACATTTTACAAATTACAAAGTAGGTGGTTTAAGAGATAGGCTGGGTGTGATGATGCCTGTAATCCCAGCTACTCCAGAGGCTAAGGTAGGAGGACTGCATTACCAGGCCAGCCTGGGCAACTTAATTAGACCCTACCTCAAATTTAAAAAATTTTTAAAGGCTACAGATGTAATTGACTAAAGCACCTCTGGGTTCAATCCCCAGTGCTAGGGATGAAAAAGAAAATAGAAGTGGAGAAAAAAAATGTATGTTTCCTTTGTTGATTTTCATAGAAAACTTCCCTGTGAATAGAGTCCAGCTTTGTTTTTATTTTTGTTGTTCTGGTTAGTCTGTTTGAAAACTAACACACAATAAAATGCATGCAAGCACAGTATGAATTTAACAGTGCTATATCTTTTGGGCAGATTCGAAGGAAGGATGATAATGTTAAGGAATTGGATGCTGTTCATAGACAAAATGATATAAAGACCAACCATGAAACTCCTGCAACAGAAAGTGTTCAACTGAAAGAAGATGATCCTCAAAATATGGATATCAGCAAAGAGGTAGAGATGATTTTAGGATTTATATTCCAAAGGGATAGATTTTTTAAGATTAGATCAAGTGGTATGATTAAATAAAGTATTCCTTTTAGTTATAGAAGCCATATATCTAAATGAAATTATAGGTTTTCTTTAATTGATATATAGACCCATAAAAATATATTGAAAATTTTAAATATAAATTACTGGGCATGGGTTCATGCATCTGTAATCCTAGCTAGTCCTGAGACTGAAGTAGGAGGATCAAAAGTTTGAGGCCAGCCTGGAAAATTTAGGTAGACCCTGTTTTAAAATAAAAATGAAAACGGCTGGAGATACAGCTTAGTGGTATGACACCCTGGGTTTAATCCCAGTAACACCAAAAAAAAAGAATCCATAGTACTAGAATAAATTGCTACTAATCCAATCAAAGAATATTGTATCCCAGCAGCTCAGTCTTAGCAGTGTGTAGAATGTTAATTTTTTAATAGAGTTAAATTTCAATTTGTTGTCAGTAAATATTCAATATAGGGTACAATTTGGGGGGATAATTTTTTTAATAAGCATTTTGGAATCATTTTAAATTTTTTAAAGTCAAATGTAAGAATGCTTTGAAAAGAAAAATTTTCTTCTTATTCTGTAGTTTAAAAGAACTGAAAATGTTTTTTATGAAATACTTTTCACACCTGAGCCAAATGGAATAAATTCTGAGGAAGCAATGGATAAAGAGAGGAACAAAGAAAAAATATCTGAGGATATTACATACAGGTAATAATTTAGAAAAACAAAGAAATTATTTATAAAACTGTATACCTGCTTACAAATGATACACTAAAGAGTTGAAAATATTGAATTCTAGTCCCACCTTAGCTGCTTAGGAGCTATAGGATTTTGAGCAACTTACATAATCTTCTCAAGCTGCAGGCCCTTCACTTGTAAAACACCAATAGGAAAATACATTTATAGTGCTCAACGCTATGCTTAGCATGCAGGGAAATAGTCACTAAACAATACCTTTAAAAAATAATGCCAGTCAGGCTTGGTAGCACAGGTCTATAAGGGAGGCTAAGGGAGAAGGGTCTCAAGTTTCGTGCCAGCCTGGGCAACTTAGGAAGAACTGGTCTCAAAATAAAAAATTCAAAGGGCTAGAGATATAGGTCAGTGGTAGCACACCCCTGGGTTCAATCCCCAGTACCACAAAAAATAAGGATGTTGGGGCTGGGGTTATGGCTCAGCAGTAGAGCGCTCGCCCTGCATTTGCAAGGCCCTGGGTTCGATCCTCAGCCCCACATAAAAATAAATAAATAAATGTTAAAAAAATAAAAATAAGATAAGGATGCCAGCACTGGGTTTGTGACTCAGTGATAGAGCCACTTGTCTAGCATGTGTGAAACCCTGGGTTTGATCCCCAGCACTGCAAAATTAGTAACAATAATAATAATACTCTTTCCACCATCTTTTCGTGCCACCATAATAGTGCGCATGAACGTCCTGGCTGATGCTCTCAAGAGTATCAACAATGCCAAAAAGAGAGGCAAAATGACAGGTCCTTATTAGGCCGTGCTCCAAAGTCATTGTCCGGTTTCTAACTGTGATGATGAAGCATGGTTACATTGGCGAATTTGAAATCATTGATGATCACAGAGCTGGGAAAATTGTTGTCAACCTCACAGGCAGGTTAAACAAGTGTGGAGTGATAAGCCCCAGATTTGATGTGCAGCTCAAAGACCTAAAAAAATGGCAGAATAATCTGCTCCCATCCCGTCAGTTTGGTTTCATTGTATTGACAATGCTGGCATCATGGACCATGAAGAAGCAAGACAAAAACACACAGGAGGAAAAATCCTGGGATTCTTTTTCTAGGGATGTAAAACATACATATAATAAAATGCCTCAGTGGACTCTCCTTCTAAAATAATAATAATAAAATAATGTCAAATGACAGCTTAAGCTATAGCAAAGTTAAGTACCTCAACACTGCCTGTGAAATGTAGACACTAATCAGAAGACTAGGTTGTCTGAGAGTCCCAAAGACAATGGTGATTTTCTTTTATTTTTTGGCAACATTCCTTAACTTGCCCCTTTATATTTTTTGGAGAGAGGGTCTTGCTAAGTTGCTAAGGTTGGCCTTGAACTTGCAGTCCTCTGCATTAGCCTCCAGAGTCACTGGGGTTACAGGTGTATGCCAGTGCACCTGGCAGTAGCTATACCTTTATTTCTTCAATGCCTAGCAAGATTGAATTTGAAAAGTGTTTGGCCGTGTCTGCTAAGAAAAGTATCTGTGCCAAGTCAGGCATAGTGATGCATGCTAAAGCAGGAGAATTGCAAGTTTGAGACCAGTCTCACAACATAGCAAGACCCTGTCTCAAAATAAAAAAGGGCTAGGGATGTGGCCCAGTGGTAAATCCCTCTGGATTCAATCCCCAGAGGGAAAAAACAAGTTTGGAGATTGGGGGATTTAAATGAAACAAGATTGGCAAAGTATAGGTAATTATTAAACTTGAAGTAGCAAATTTCATTTTATTATTTGCTCTAATCTCTTTATGTTTGGAGTTTCCTAGAAAGAGAAAAAAAATGAGATCAGTTACAAATGTTAACATTTGTTAAATATATCTAAGTGGTGGCATCGAGTCTGAGTAGTTAGAATTTTCTCAATAAGAAACTGGAAGAAAAAAATTAATTGTATTCTAAGTAAATTATAAAATAACAATCTGTTTTCATTAGCTCTCAAGATGAGACACAGATCACAAATCATAAGCCAGAAGCCCATACTGAAGAAGATACAAAGAACAATATTCATGAGCAGGAAGAAACTGTTATTTCATATGAACCAACTCCGGAGCTTTCTAGAGAAAATGAAACAATGGCAGGTAGATACTACATGTTTTATGATTTTCTTACCTATATCACTTAGAAAGCAAAGTGCATAGGAGTTCTAATTTTTTTAATTGTCACTGGCCACTTGGATATTGTATGACAGGTCTGATTCAAAGTGTATGAACTTCTAAACTTGTTTTGCTGAACTTCTAAATTTATTTTTCCATATGGATATTGTAACAAGGGAGCCACTCAAGAACAGTGACTGCAGATTAATGAACCTTTTCCTTCCCACTTACATATTCATGAAGGGTGTATTTGGACAAAGGAAGAAAGGTAACCCCTGCCACTGAGTCTGCTCTGGCTTAAGAATTGGCTCATTGATTTGATTTTAGTTTTTAATCATAATATATGGTAAACTTTTTCTAATGAGAAGATCCCTCAGTACTTAAAATTTACCTATTCTAAGGACTAGTCTCTGAGAGTTCACAAACTTGACACTTTGGGAAATGTGGACAATTATACATTTAAAGCAGTAGAATGGATGTGTTTACTCTAGCCCCAACCATAATCCACATCTGGATTTTTTTCTGATAGTAGAAAAAAATCATTCATATCATATTATAAAATAAATTATTTTTTCTATACTATGTGCTCTCATTCCCTCCCCCACCCTCTCTTAGTGGAGATGGGGTGCAGTGGTGGGGTTTAAACCCAAGTGCCTTGAGCATGATAGGCAAGCACTGAGCTGTTTACCAGTAAGCCACATCTTGACACTGCCATTATATTTTTTAGACTCTTCGTAAATATTTTTTTCTTTCTTTTCCTTCGTTATGGTTTCTAGAGGGTGAGAGTGAAGGGTAGGATCATAGCACTAGTGAATATTTTTAACTTTCTATCTTTACTTCATAACAAAGAAAATCATTCTTTATAATCCTCCTCTCCGTAACTCCTACCCTTTTGTGGAAAGATAAGAATAATGTAATTCAGGACTATTCTTTCTAGGAAAAGTATAAAATTCTGGGCAGAGCATTTTTTCTTTTATATACATAGAACATGCATATGTATGTCATCAGTCCTGTTCCCTTGTAACAAATATTAACCACTGTCTCCTTTACCTTTACCACTTAAAAGACAACATGCACAAGAGTTGTACTTTTGTAATTGTTACTGACCACTTGGTTATTGGGTAGCAGGCCTGATTCAGAGAATTAAACCTATAACTTTTTAAGTCTCTGTAGTATCTAGCTGCATGAACTAGAAAAGACTCAACAGAACCATGGACAGACACCTGAAATCTAACCTCACAAGAAAAAGAATGAATTTTAAACTAGGCTGCAGGAGACATTTTATACTGAATATTCCAGTTGCCTTATTAGAAAATCATAACAGAACCCACAAACAGTTATTACTTCCTCCCCAGTAAATGTTCTGATTGTTGTGGGATCACAGCATCAAGATTTACTTCTCCAAATGTATTTTAAAGATACTTATTTTCTCATATGTTTTCTTGGTGTGTTTTAGTGAAAAGTCTGTCCCCGTCTCCTGAGTCCTCAGCATCGCCAGTTCCATCCACTCAGCCGCAGCTCACAGAAGGATCACATTTCATGTGTGTGTAGTCTCAGAAGTATGTCATTTCCCTTCATATTAGTGGTTTACTGTTAAAGAGTGTTTTACTTGAATTTTATTCATCTGTTGTTTAGTAAAAATATTTGGGATTAATTCTGGACTCTGCATTAGGGATAATTAGCAGATAAAGAGGCCATGTGTTTAAACCATGGCCAGTAACTCGGATTTTGAACATTGCCCCCTTCTAATGATTTGCTTTGTGACAGCATTTTCTCTCTTATTTTATCATCCATAAAAGCAGCAAAATTTGGAGGGAATGGTCTGTGCCAAAACAAGCTTCACAGTATCATGCAGCTGTGCTCCTATGGAACATTCCTTTGCATAGTCACATCTGAGAATGCTGTTAAGGAATTACATGTCGATCATGTAATGTTTTTTAATTAATGTGGCATATCTATCTAATTGGAATTTGTTAATTATTTTAAGGACAAAAATTGTTTATGATTCAGCCAACTTGATAGAATTTTAAGAGCTATTAAATCTAGTTGAGATCTATTAGAAATTATTTCTAAATAATGAATTAATTTAAATCAAGGTAGCAACTGAAAAAGACACAGATGGGGACAGGGAGAAGGAGGAAACCTTTCTTAAACAATGTTCCTAATTTTTTTTAACTTTATAGACAGTTATTATTTGTATAATTATACAAAATTATACACATACAAATAGACATTTTTTTCTTCAGTAAAACTGTGAGATACAGAGTGAGCATCTTAGCCTTGTCTTTTTTCTCACAGTATATACCATGTCTAGTAATTTTTGGTGCTTTAAAATTACCACCAATTTCTGTTAACCAGTTATAAGCAGCAAAAACAGACATTCTGAGCATTATTACCAACATCTTCTTTGAATTTTAGATTCTCAAAATAAATTATTACATTTACTTACTTGCCTAAGTGCTTATTTTCTGGAATCTACTTCCATTTATGATTTTAATTAAAGCAGCTTTAATCTTTCTCCTTTTTTTTCTTCTTTTCTTTAAATATTTGTTTAGTTGTAGATGGACACGATACCTTTGCTTTATTTTTATGTGGTGTGGGGGATTGAACCCAGTGCCTCACTCATGCTAGGCAAGCGCTCTACCACTGAGCCACAGCCCTGTCCTTTTTTTCAACCAGAAAAATTTATGTTGTCTTATCATGTTTAATATTTTTATTGTGTTTACCTGGAGCCTAGAAGAGCCTTTTGTTTGTTGTCTGGCTGTGCAGGTTTCAAGTGCTTGCTGAAATTACAGATGGCCTATGTCTTGCCTCATTCCCTCACAATTTTTTTTTTATTGGTTGCTCAAAACATTACAATGATCTTAACATATCATATATCATACATTTGATTCAAATGGGGTATGAATTCTTATTTTTCCCACGTGTACAGATTGCAGGATCACATTGGTTATACAGCCACGTTTATACATACTGCCATACTAGTGTCTGTTGTATTCTGCTGCCTTTCCTATTCCCCCTCCCCTCCCCTCCCATCATTTCTCTCTACCCCATCTACTGTAATTCATTTCTCTCTCTTTTTTTTCCCCTTTCCCCTCACATCCTCTTATATGTAATTTTGTATAACAATGAGGGTCTCCTTCCATCTTCCGTGCAATTCCCCTTCTTTCTCCCATTCCCTCCCACCTCTCGTCCCTGCTTAATGGTAATCTTCTTCTTATGCTCTTCCTCCCTGCTCTGTTTTGAGTCACCCTCCTTATATCAAAGAAGACATTCAGCATTTGTTTTTTAGGGATTGGCTAACTTCACTTAGCATAATCTGCTCTAATGCCATCCATTTCCCTGCAAATGCCATGATTTTGTTATTTTTTAGTGCAGAGTAATATTCCATTGTGTATAAATGCCACATTTTTTTTATCCATTCATCTATTGAAGGGCATCTAGGTTGGTTCCACAGTCTAGCTATTGTGAATTGTGCTGCTATGAACATTGATGTAGCTGTATCCCTGTAGTATGCTCTTTTTAGGTCTTTTGGGAATAGTCCGAGAAGGGGAATAGCTGGGTCAAATGGTGGTTCCATTCCCAGCTTTCCAAGGAATCTCCATACTACTTTCCAAATTGGCTGTACCAATTTGCAGTCCCACCAGCAATGTACAAGTGTACCCTTTTCCCCACATCCTCGCCAGCATTTGTTGTTGTTTGACTTCATAATGGCTGCCTTTCTTACTGGAGTGAGATGGTATCTTAGGGTGGTTTTGATTTGCATTTCTCTAATTGCTAGAGATGGTGAGCATTTTTTGTGTATTTGTTGATTGATTATATATCCTTCTCAGAGAAGTGTCTGTTCAGATCCTTGGCCCATTTGTTGATTGGGTTATTTGTTTTCTTATTGTTTACAAATTTTTAACTTAAACTTTAGAATTAAAGCAACTGGTGGCAGAATAAAATCCAACAAAGGAAAAATTAACATGATGTTCACTTAATTTCTTCAACATAAAGAGTTAGTATGTGGTATCTATGTATCTTAGTAAAAAAATGTGCATTAAGAGCCATTCATATTGTTTTTTGATTTTATGAACAGGTTACATTTCATTTTATACAGACCTTTTTGATAATAAAGAATGTTCAGAGTTAAAACTCCAGTACATTTCCAAGTTCCTGGAGTTGTTACTGCATTTTATTTTGTTTAATTTTTATCCCAAGAGCCTATGGCATTACATACTAGAATGAGGCACAACTGTTGCCAGATACCTTCTGGTGTCTTTGTCATGCAGCTACCACAAACAACTAGTGGCACAAAAACTCATATAGTACTTTATGTTCTCCCATTGTACATAAGTCATCTTTCTGAACTAGTCATTTTGGCAAGACTCAGAAAGCTTTACAAATGATATTGCTATATAGATGGCTCAATATATTATTACATATTTTATGAAAGTTATGCAAACCTTTGTTTATTTTGTCGATCTTTGGATTCAGCAACAAATGTGGATACATTTTTTTTATTTTGACTTGCTTTAATTGCATTATGTTTTTTCACTGTGAATTAGGCTTATGGAAATAAAGAAAAATGGCCTTTAACTGTATTATGTTTTAGAATTTTCATGGCCATGCTTGTCAGTTCTATTGTTATATCCTTGTGAGGTACTTTGGGACATGGTCATTCATCAGCTTTGCAGGTGTCAAAGTAATTTCCCCTTTCTTATTTTTCAGCTATACTGACTTCTGTTGAAACCAGTCACAGCTAAAGACGTGGACCTTTGGCAATGTAAGAAGATATTGTACAGTATATTTTAAATCTATGAAATTCATAGTTTTTGATGCTTTCAACCACAGAGCATCATTTTACCACTTCTGGAAAATGTTATTCCAAAACAGCTTTAATGGCCCATATGTACACTCCATAATCTCAAGGTTATCATTCTGACACCAGCTTGCTGCTATGATTTCAGAGCACATAAGTAAAGGTGCTTTTTAATGTGCAGTCTATAGAAAGAGCTTACTTAGTTGCTGATTTTCAGATTTTGATGTTTCTTAAGTCTAAGTGAATTTATATTTCTTTTTGCTTTTCAGTACATAAAGTTACTTATTATTTCAAGTGAGACTTGCTTTTCTTTCTTTTTCCTTTCTTTTTTTCCCTTTCTTTCTGATTTTGGATACTGCAGTGCTTTGTTTCACACTTGATTTGTAAAAATTTTATATATATATATATATATATATATATATATATATAAATATTTAAAATATGCCATTTTATTATTGCTAAGTGAAGTATGTCCTGTTTTCTGCTATAATTCTTTCTCAGTCAGATTGCAATGTCAGCAGTTACTGCCACACTCTTGTCAGCTTAAACACAAATGTTATCGCTTACCTTTTCTTAAAAAAAAAATTAAAAGTGTAGGTATTTTGAAGTACTGGACTTATACTTCATTGGAATAGATGTGTATAGCAATAAGCAGGTTTCCAAATCCAGTACTTAGTTTGTGTACAAATGTAATTATGTTCATTGTGTATATATTATGCAATGAGCACTTGTAATGTATTAAAGGCTACTTCCTATTGTTTAAATGCAAATGTTCATATCTCATTTCTTTTTTATCATGTTAAATAAATGTTGATGTTCTTAAGTCACTTGTGTTAGAATTTTTTTTTTTCCACTAAAATGAAAAGTCTTGAGAGTTGGGGATGCGACTCAGAGTAAAGCACTTTGCCTCTCATGCACAAGGCCCTGGGTTCAACCCACAGCACCAGAAAGAGATAGTGGGGGGGAGTCTTGAGATTTAAGAGACTTCTCAAAGAAAAAGTAGTCTTTTAATCTTATTATCCTAGACAGTATCATAAAAGAACCTTGTCTGTCCAACCTTCCCATGTCAAAATTGAGGGAACTTGATGCCCAAAGTGATAAATTGGCTTGCTGGCCATAACCATGTTACAATTATTGACAGGATTTGGGGCAACATAATTTTTCTTACTTTTCCTCCTAAATCTATCAGCTCATCACCAATGGGCAAATTTATATTTATGAATTCTTCTACAATATTTCAATTTGTTTCCAAGTTTTAAAAAGTGATTTCAAGCATCTATCTGCAGGCCTTCTCTGCTTAGGGACTGGACTTTGAGAGGGGTCTGTAGAGTAGAAAGGGCTATTTCTCTGACACGGGTAATTAGAAACCGTTTCATCATAAGTGAGACTCAGAGATCTTTTCTCTTACAATACATTCTTTGCAGATGTTCACGCTCTTCAGAATCAATTACATTTTCTTTCCTTTGTAACCTTTTATGCATGCTTTATATTGTTCCCAGAGTACAAGGAAATTTGATGCTTCTGGATTCCTGTATGGAGTGGCTCAAACCAAATTGGCACTGGTCAGTCTCCACTCTCCACCCCCACTTCATGTTATACTAAAGAGGATTTAGATTTGATACGAAATGCAGATGTATAAAAATTTATCTGTTCCTAAAGGAAACATTCAAGATGAAATGCAAAGAGTCTAGATTGCAGGAGATAAATGAAAACAGAATGAAAGGAGAATGTTTACTTTTCTTATTATTAAAAGGTAATATATATATATATATATATATATATATAAAGAAGTCTTCTCAGATTATTATTTTCCCTTAATCTTGGCGCCCTTTTTTTGGGGGGGGGGTATTATTTCCCCTTTATCATAATATAATTATTTTTAACAGATCTTCTGTCAGTTTGTTGAGATTTTCTGATATTCTTTGGGTTTTTTGTGGGGGCTTTGTTTTATCTTTGAGGATGTGTCTGTGTATTGTCTTTTGTTTTATTAAACACAACTTTTTGTGTATTTTGTAGTACTAGGGATTAAACCCAGGGCTTCATGCGTGCTAGTCAAGCACAGTACCACTCATCTCCAAACATTCTGTAACTATTTCAAGAAGGAAATATATATACATACATATTCCTTATTAGGATCCCTGGCATACTAGAGAATTTGGAAAAAGCAGTATGAAATAGTTGTTACTCTTTTGTTTCTCTCCACCCCATTCCTGGTACTAGGGATTGAACCCAAGGGCACTTTACCACTGAGCTACATTCCAAGCCCTTTTTTTATATTTTGAGATAGGGTGTCACTAAATTGCCAAGTCTGGCCTTAAGCTTGCGATTCTTCTGCTCAGACTCCCAAGTTGTTACTGTGACTCTTTTCAACATTTCAGAAAGACAGATGAAAGTACCAACAATAGGCTAGTGTGGTAATGTATACCCGTAATCCAAGCAGTTCTGGAGGCTGAAGCATGAGGATCATGAGTTCAAAGCCAGCCTGAGCAAAAGCGAAGCACTAAGCAACTCAGTGAGACCCTGTCTCTAAATAAAATAGAAAATAGGGCTGGGGATGTGGCTCAGTGGTCAAGTGCCCCTGAGTTCAATCCTCATACGCAAAGAAAGAAAGAAAACAAAATGTTCTTGGGTTGGGCCTATAACTTGCTGTTAACTGTGCTTGCCTAGTATGCCAGAGAGAAAGCCCTACATTAATCCCCAGCACTATTACAAAGAAAAAAATTTTATTAGCCCTCAGTGATTACAAAAACGTCTGCTAAAAATAGATCCATTATGCTGAATGCACACCAGTAATCCTAGCTACTCAGGAAGCTGAGGCAGGAGGATCTCAAGTTCAAGGCTAACTTGGTCAATTTACTAAGACCCATTTTCAAAATAAAAAATTTTTTTAAAAGAGTGGCAGATGTAGTTCAGTGGAGGTTAAACTACCCCTCAGTTTAACCTCTAGTACCCCAAAAAAATGGGGACCTGTTATTACAGGTCACTCTGGAGTAGTACCCATGAAAAAAAATCTTACATATCCAAACTACCATATTATTTGAAATGTGTGATTTATATGTATTGGCTTGTAAGAAATCAGTGTTCTCTGCCTATTAAACTATCTAGTTCTACCAAACATGAAAGAATGATTCCTCTCTTTGTGTTTAAAGTAGCAACTATTTGTCTAAAAACTTGTCCAGTATATGCATTAAGTGGCAGATGCTGAACGATCCCCAGCTTTTCTTTTTAAAAGAAGTTACATACCTCACCTTGAACTTTTCCAAGTGTTTTGGGGCAACTGGGAACAGGACAACAAGTGGGCCCGAGATAGGCCTGTAGTGTACTACTGGAAAATGACAGGGACATAATGAAATTACATTTCAAACCAGTTGGCTTCTAGTCATATCCCTAAAAACTGTCCATAGCAGATAAGGGAATCAATTGGTTGTAGTAAGATCCTTTACTTGAAGTAACCGCTTCTAATAAAAGCCCCTAACTTGAAATTTACAGAAGAAGTAACATAAACATTTAATAAACATCTGAACAGATGCTCATTATCTGTGGTTATCAAAGATATGCAAGTTGAAATGAGATATCCTATTTTGCTCTTGGATTAGAAAAGATTAAGGAGAGTAATAATGTCCAGAGTAAGCAGGGTGTAGGAAAAGAGATATATTTACATGGGATTGGTATGAATATAAACAGATAAAATCTTTCAAAAGCCTTAAAAATGCATACTCATTGACCTAGCAATTCTACTTGGAGGAATTTATCTCAAAGGAATAATCAAGTGAGTATCCAGACACGTTTTTGTAGCTTGGTTGTGTTTAGTTGTGGGGTTTTTTTTTTTTTTGGGGGGGGGGGGCGAGTACCCGGGATTGAACTTTGGCACTTGACCACTGAGCCACATCCCCAGCCCAATTTTGTATTTTATTTAGAGACAGGGTCTCACTGAGTTGCTCAGTGCCTCACTGTTGCTGAGGCTATCTTTGAACTCACAATCCTCCTGCCTCAGCCACCCAAGCCACTGGGATTACAGGCATGCGCCACCGCACCCAGCCTAGTTATTTTTTTTAATAGTTGAAATATAGGATCTATTTATCTTATGCTATAAGAAGTCTAACAATGAGGAGCTACACATGACAAATGCCTCTAATCCCAACTGTACAGGAGAGTGAGGCAAGAGGATCACAAGTTCAAGAACTGCCTGAGCAATTTAGCACCACCCTGTCTCTAAATAAGATTCTAGGTGCAATGGCACACGCCTATAATTCCAGTGTTCTGGGAGGCTGAGGCAGGAGGATCATGAGTTCAAAGTGAGCCTCAGCAACAGCAAGGCACTGAGCAACTCAGTGAGACCCTGTCTCTAAATAAAATACAAAATAGGGTTGGGGATGTGGCTCAGTGGTCAAGGGCCTTTGAGTTCAATACCCATATGCAAAAAAAAAAAAAAAAAAAGATTTTAAAAAGCGGGCTGGGATTGTGGCTCAGCAGTAGAGCGCTCACCTAGAACGTCCTGGGTCCTGGGTTTGATCCTCAGCATCACATAAAAATAAATAAAGGTATTTTCTCCAACTCAACCAAAAAATAAATATTAAAAAAAAAGACTTTGGGGCTTGGGATGTGGCTCAAGTGGTAGCGTGCTCGCCCGGCATGCGTGCGGCCCGGGTTCGATCCTCAGCACCACATACAAACAAAGATGTTGTGTTTGCCGAAAACTAAAAAATAAATATTAAAAAAAATTCTCTCTCTAACAAAACAAAAAAAAAAAAGATTTTGAAAAGTACTGGAGTTATAACTTAGAGGTAGAGAGTGCTTGCTTACCACACTTATGGCCCTAGGTTTAATTTCCCTCATCAAAAGGAAAAGAAGAAGTCTACCAGTGAGGAGTCCAGAGCTCTCTGGAGACTCAGGGATGTTATGAAGAAACTGTACCCCTTTCTGCTCTGCTATCAGCAAAGATAACTTCATCTCAAAGCATTATCAACTGTTTGCATTTATGCCTCTGTCATAAAATGAAATATATTTTTAGTCTTTTCCTGTTTCCTGATATAAAGCTGCTAAAATCCTAAGCATGTTCAGACTAAAAGCCAGTCATGGTAGCACAGACCTGGAGGCCCAGCTACTCAGGAAGCTGAGGCAGGACAATCCCCATGTTCAAGGCCAGCCTAGACAACTAAACTCCTGTCTCAAAATAAAATTAAATTTTAGAAAGGGCTGGTGGCGTGGTTTAGTGCTTGCCCAGCATATGCAAGGCCCTGAGTTCAATTTCCAGTACTGAAAAAAAAAATTAAAAATAAGACAGGATTTGGGTGAATTCCCAGATACCTGAGCTTGTGGAGGTTCCTACATGTGGCCTGCCTGGAGAGGGATGGAAGCGCTGCCCCTTCCCATATGCCTCTCCCTATGCACATCCTCATCTGACTGTTCATCTGTGTGTTTTATGATACCTTTACAATAAACCAGCAGACATGTTTCCCTGAGTTTCTATTCATCAAACCCAAGGAAGGAGTGGTGGGACCTGGTTTTAGCAGTTAGTCAGAAGTACAAATGACCAAAATTTGCAATTAGCAACTAAAGCAGGGGCAGGTGCTATCTCCAGGTAGATGGAGTCAGAAGTGAATTGAATTAGAGGACACTGTAGAATCTGCTGGAGATTTGCTTAATAGGTTGGTTATCTTGGTGACAAGCCCTGTGTTGTATTGAGTGGAGAGAGAAAATAGGGAAAACAGGAGCATAGCTGGGTACAGTGGTACGCTCTTATAATCCCAGAAATGTGGAAGACTGAGGCAGGAAGTTTGAGGTCAGCCTCTGCAGTTTAGACCCTCTCTCAAGGACTGGGGG